ACCGATTACTTTCCAGTTTAGCTAATCACTATCCTGGAAATCAAGATATTTGGATTTCTTTATTCTCTCTGCTTTATACTGCACAAGTATTAGCACGTCTTGCTAATCAATGGTCTCACATCAAGGACAGCAATACCATTTGCTAAAAAAATAGCTATAAAAATCTGTAAAACATACTTAATAACTTCTCATTATCCTCCAAGTCTGTCCTTTCGACCCTCCAAAATATCACTGAAATACAACTAGAAACCCCAAAAGTAGCTTGGTGACTGTTTTGTGCTTTGGAAGGTTTACAGGATTGACAGCACACTGAAGTTTTTGTTAGTTCACAGGGCAGGTATAGCAGACACATCAGTAATGCAAGCCTTTGTGCTTTTCTCTGGGAACATGAGCTAGGACTCAAAGAGCTACTCTATGTCTGTTAACCTTTATGCTATTCCTGTTGTGTTTTTCTTTTTCTATTTTGCGCTGGAAACTGCTAGGTGTGCCTAACCCTTCAGCTTGGTGACACAGACAACTACCACTGGTTCAGTTCTGCTTGATTGATTCCACGTGTACCCCTTGACCACTGCACTCCAGGAAAGTGTCGATGCCATATTCCAAGTCAGTTTCTGAGTGGCTTTACCTTTGGTATTAAATGGGTCCCCTAAAACTATTAGGCAACCAGATTATTCATAAAAGTAGTTTATTTTAAAAAAACCTTGTTTTTTCTGAACAAACTAAATATCTGACAACAAAGACTAACTTTAAATTGATTAGTGTGTGGTATTTTTCAGTAAAAAGGGAAAATGTTTCATTTTACTGCATCAATATTCAGGAGACAACAGGAACAATACCTACCATACTAAGCTTCCCTCAACTCTTACATTGCTTTCCACTCACTATCACAAGAAAAAGGAAAATGCACAATAGCTACTTCTGTTCACCTCATCCTGTCAACTGTCAACCATGTTAGAAGCATTTCCTAAAAATACACATAGAAATTCTAGTATGAACTTCAAAGAAAAGTATGCATAATGGTTCAGAAAAACAAGCAAAGTCAAACCAATGCCTCTCTTTGGTTAAAATTAATGTAATGGCAGAAACTTCCACTTGTAGACATCTTTCACTCCAGAATTCTCCTCTATTCTGAGCTTATAGAACGTGGTCTCCTTCTGCAAGTGCAAAAGATGGCCTAGACATTTCTACCCATCTACAAAGCTCCTCCGTTTCACTGCCACAGTCCAGAACCATACAGACCTAAACTGCTCACTAGAGAATGAAACCATGGCCTTGTTCAACTGCAGTAGCAAGCTACCTGAATTCAAAAGATTTATGGCACATACCTTGGATGGAAGAATCTGTCAGGAATTCATTAATTAATCAAATTCCTATTCTGGAATCTAGTGCTTTAATTTGCTCTACAAACAGTGTAGACAGTAGTTAGACAATCAACAGGTAAGTCTGCTTTTGAAAAATATATTAACATTACAAGATCATCTGTTGGAGGACATTCCTACAATGGATGTTTCAGCTGAGGTCTGAAGGTCAGACAATCCCTATGGCACAAAATTAGCAGTAAATGTGCAGTTGCAAGCTTTTCACATTTCCTTTAGGGTGAATCAATCCCCTCATGTCTTGGAATTCATCCTGGAGCACACTCCGGCAGACTACAATCCTTACTCAAACAAGTGTCTTTAGCTCAACCCCTTGTGGAAGTATGACCTTGTTCAAACTGGCTATACAGGATTCAAAATGCAGAACTGTGAAAACTGCTGAAATCCGTGAGAGCTGCCTGATGAATGAAACCTGTGAGCTGACACCTCATGTGCAATTTCGCCTTTATAATTCCTCAATGTTTTTACTTGGGGGGTATGAAATGGGGTGAGGTATGGGAAAGGGCAAAAGATGTGTAATGACCTAGAATTAGAGGACAGAAGGTGCCTGCTTAGACATTTTAACTGAGAGAAATAATAAGATAACAAAGCATGAAGTAAAATGAGAGGGGAATATGCTGCATGATATATGCATTTTCGTAGGAAGTAAAGAGATGCCTTCAACCTGCCAGATTAAGTGAAGAAACTGGACTAAGCTCCTGGATAGGCATGTAAGTCTTAATGCCTTGGCACTTCTCCAGGATAAAAATAAGTTCGATCAGTGCATGTAATTGACCAGTATTTTATGTAGCCCCTCTATACACAAGGCTCAATCTGTTTATTTTGAGATTTAGGATTGGCTTTGAACAGCTATCTGTTCTCTAGTATTTCTATCAGACACAGTATCTGGCTGAGCTGGATGCTATTCCTTTCGTTGCAGCTCCTCTCAAAAATGCTTTTTTCTGGGGTGTGAATGCCTCTTCTTGTCTTTGGTTACATGAAAACATAAAAAAACTCCACAAATAATAAAGCTCAGTAATTGGTTCAATTAAAGGACTAAACCCTGGCCTATTTTGTTATTTTAGAAAGCAGCAGAAAAGGAAAAACAGTTTATGTCTCTCCCAAGGTCATGTGTAACAGTTATACATGGGAGAGATGAGATGAAACCCTGGACCATTACTTTGTCTGCAGCAGACAATAAGAGCCTAGCTTCTATCTAAATGGAATGGGATCAATCTCTTTTCTCCTGCAGCTGCACTAGAACTGTTTTCAATAACAGAAAAGTCAAGTCATATTGCTGGGACCTATAGAGGAAAACAGACCAAGATCCAGATTCAAGTGTCCCTTATGCAGAAAATTGAATATTTTCAATATAAAAGTATTTTTTATATAATTTCTACTGAGATAGGGTTTAATTTATCTAAAATGACACATTTCTTTTTATGCTTTTTTTCCCTGAAAGCTTCTCAATACAGCATGTTTATGAAATATTCTTGCTGAAAACATTAAGACCATCGATAAAATACAGAAGCAAATATTACCCTGTCAAATGCAAATAATGGGCTGAAAAGGTATTCTGTATTAATAATCAGGCACTTTGTTTTGTATAACATTTTTAGTACAGTAAAAATAATACTTTTATAATTTTTTTTGCATAATAACTGCAAGCTAGCTGAGTATGCACAATATACTTACAGCATTGCATACTCCTCGGACCCAAATCCTAGGTTTCAAGTGAGCAGTACCTACTATAGTGATGAGTCACTTAAGTTATTGTAGTAATCTTATTTGGTATTTAAAAGGAAAAAAAAAGTTTATAGGACTAGGCCTTTAGCTACCGGCAGTGTAGTAATGCATGATGGAAGATACATTTCTTGATTAATCATCTAATTCCATATTGTTTGAGATGTTATAGGACCTTGTCTGTAAATTCTAGCTTACAGCTTGTTACTAGATAAATGCAGCAATCAGCTACGCTGAACAAAAAGTTGCTTATGACTTTCATTAATGAGTTTTTCAGCTTAAGGGAAAAACAAAGCAGCACCAAATGTGCTAAATAAGAGACAGCAAGGTTAGGTAGCAGTGTGGAATTTTTTAGGTCTTATCCCTCTGCAGCTAGATATTTCTGATATGGGAAAGCCATAGAAACACAGTGGCAGCAACACTTACTTTATATTCCTATGCTTTACAAGCATGCAGTGGTGACACTTTGTCATGGAAGGCTCAGACTCTATCCAGGCATCTGCTCTAGGATGGCATATGGTGCAGTCTGAAGGGAATGCTTAGGTACTCATTTCACTTTACCCCATCTTTGGCACACAGGAATCTGCACATGCATTCTCATATTCCTATGGTGCTCAGATAGTCTTAATTGGCACAAATTAATTAAATATGCATATCTGTAGACACATGGCACATATGTACTATATGGGAGAGAAATTTCCTGTAAGGAAGGCAATGCCTGTGCTATACAAGCTGCCCAGTTAAGATATGTATTTCACTGGCACTTCACTGTTATAAAAACTATTAAACTGCAGCAGCACTCGGGCACTGTGCCATCAAATCAGAAATGCATAAAGTGTGGGTGGTTAGCTCATATGCATTTAATGCCACCATTCTTAGCTGGGAACATTGGTTCAGATCTGTCAGTATTTTCCATGCTTAAAATGAAGATTTGTCTTCTGTAATCTAGTTTTAACTTGCATCAAGAAAATACCATGAGTTAAACCAATGTCCAATTCTGATCGAGAGAATTCACGGTTCTCTGAATTATGAATACAGAAAGTTATCAAACAGTCAAAGAAAGCTTCTATTAGGTGCCTTTCCAAAGCCAACACAAAACAGTGCTATTACAGGGGTCCTGTTAGGTGGATGGATTAAAAATGATGCATTCTTGTCTTTTTAAAACAAGTCTGTTCAAATTTGTCAAAACAGCAACCTCAATTGCTGAGAAAAAAACCTGTGCCCTGAACCAAGCAGAAATTATGCTTAAGCATCCTACCATTAGCTTTGTGATAAACTGAAACAGGTGTTTTATGTCAAGTGAATCTACAGTGAAAATTCTGGTATAAAAACAGGGGAAATATATAAAAACTGTAAGGTGTCATTTCTATGTGCATGTAAATATTTACAAATAATATCCTATTTCAACTGTACAAAACAACTATGTATACTAAAGAGAAAAATGATTTGCAATCAGAATGCATGCTTTGCTCTTCCAAGCTGCTCCATGAGGAGGACCTCTATATACAGAAAGAATCTATTTTTCCCCACAGGCTCTGCAGAGAAGGGCCCTGCCTTCATGGAAAATCTTTCTGTCAAGTAGCACATCACAGACTAGGTGGGCAAAAAGATGACTGCTCCCTGCAGCCAGTACATGCACCCCTTCCCATGAACATGTGCCTGTATTAGGCAGCACACTGCCTGCAGAAAGGGGCAGAAGCTTCCTTAACATTTCGCTTCCCCAGTCCCACTGGCACCTGCACAATATGTGCAAACTTGACCTGCAATAGCAGGTTTCCTAAACAGACTGCTACCGACAGCATCTTTATTTCTGCGTTGTCATATGGGCTTTGGCGAGCAGTGGTAGAATTCAACCCGCCTATGTATGATGTTCCTAAAGTCATCAATGTTAGAACCCCTAACAACATTAAAGGGGCTAGATTTAATCCACAACATGCTTATTTCTCCTACAGAACTTACTAATGTACAGGGACATACACTAACAAAAGATTTACAGCCTTGCATCCATCTTTTATGCTTGATCCCAAGAAAGAATTTTCACTTTGTCTAAGAACAACCAGTTCACTCTACAGTAGCTTCTGAAAAATTAATTTGGTTCCTTTTTGCTGTATGCAAAAGGCATAAAGAAAGTAAATAGCTATCTACAACACTAGCAGGCATCTATTAAGTAGAAATTACATAAAGTTACTGAACTATAAGTATCTCCAGAGAACCTGAAGAGAAAAACTCAACTAACTATTAAGCAGAGTAAAGACAATGGAAGACTACAGAAAACATACACATTGCTATGCTCCCTGCAACATTACCAAAAAACCCAATAAAATTTCCATACTAGAACCATTATGCTTACAATATCTAAGGCAACAATCACTTTTTATCCAGCACTACCAGGTCTTAGGAAAAAAGATGACCTGAACAATTATATTGGTCAGACTGCTTATCTTCAATATTGCATTACCTCTAATTTTATGGAAATAGTTTTATGATGTGACTTTAACTAATGAAAATTTCTGTAATGAATTCTAAACTCCAGATAGTTGCAAGAGGTACAATACGTAATTAAAGCTATATATTACTTTTGTTTTCACATACTATAGACCTCCATCCAATCTTAAAAGGAAATGCTTATTATGAGAGGTAATAATTATGTAAAATTTTGCCTTGCTTGTAATTTTGTAGTGAAATTTATTTGTTCCATAGACATTTATATTATTTTAGCTTCATTTTTGTGGAAGCTTAATTAGAAGAAATGTAATCTGACCAGAAGCCATCTTCCAAAAATAGGTAGTATCCCAAATACCAATCTTCAGGGAAACCATAGAAAAGTGCAATCACAAAGGCTGCAATGCTTTTAAGCAATATTAGCAGAATCTATTTAGAAGATTTAAAATTACTATTTTGAATTATCATGTTCTACACCTCTTGTTAAGTGTAATTAATCTTCATTCACTGCAAAAGGACTGTTGCACGCTCATGAGTGAGCTATACCTGGACCCATGAGAACCTTATCAAGAAAAAGGTAGTGGCCCAACCACCACATTTCTAAATATATTTTCTATACAAAATATTGTCAAGGTATAATCCTTAGTTATTTTTACAGTACTCTATGATTTAAACAACAATATTCAGTAAAATAGTAAGTGTGTGAAACTGCAACACCACATGGAATGAGCACTCTGCCATTTTGCTAATGTAATCAATATTAGGACCAGAAAAATTTTCTAACACGCAAGCAAAAATATTCCATAGTTTTTGAATCTTGACTGTACACTTCATGATTTTGGCTATGATTTGCAGCACACCCTTAAGATACACAAATATCTTATGCACATTTCAGTAGCAGAATGGCACTTGGCTTGCTCTAATAGAAACAACAGAGATGCAACTGACACTTTTAAGAAAGACAATGTCCTTATTTGCATGCTGAAAATCTGGCTGTGTCCCCCCAGTCCAGGCACATCCATTCATTGTGCAATCTGTCGATGGGTAAACAAATAGTGCAGGATTCATCTCAGTGGGATCTGGCCCTTTGGTCTAACCGAAGTCAATTCTAGGTCGATACTGAAGTACCATGGGGTAAGACTGAAAACAAAAGCAAGGGGAAAACAACAACAAAAACAGAGAAAGCATGAAGACATAATTCATAAAGAAAATGCAATTAAAAACTGCCTTAAGAATAGCCAAAGCTTATCCCTAAGACACAAATATATGACAGTTTTATTTATATGAAACGATTCCATACAACAGTTAAATACATACCCGTACCTCAAATCTATTAGCAATTTGTCATTGATACAAAATTTCTCTATCTGCTTTCATATATTTCAATATTTATATTTTATTACATATATATACTTGGAGTGCTCAAACAACTCTTACTTCTGTGTTGCTGTGCTTGATAAAAATCAATCTTGAAATTTTTTACTTTCTAAACTGAAGTATATTTACAGGTGATGTACTTTGTTTGAATGTTTATATTTACAGAGGTTCCATAGCTATACTATAAAAAAAAAGATGTCAAATTGGTGTCAGCTGATTTTCTGAGAGAAGATGGCTAACTTTTCCCCCAAATCCAAACTCCTTAATCTCAGATTTAGTGATACATTTTTATTAGTTTCTACTGAAAAAAAAAAAAAGGCAAATAAACTACTTCTTGGATCCCTGAATGGGACAAAACTGTTGCGAAACGAAAGGCAACACTGGGTGGGTTTCCCAAAAGGGCTGTAGAACACCTGGGCACTTGTTGCTCAAAATGTCATCTTACTAAATGTCTTATTTTTTCAATCTGTCAGCATTTCATTTAAGTCTAAAGTTTTCCTCTTAACTGCAATAGGGTACTGGATGTTTTCTATAGCATAAAACCCTGGAAAATCTTATTGGCTAAGCAGCTGTATGGGCTTAAATACCTCTCTGCCACAGAACAGAGGAATAAAGCTAATTTAAAGTTTTTTTAATTGCAAATTTGGAAGTACACAGAATTATTACAGAAGCTATCAATGAAACCAGAAATATTTTGCTGCATTCAAATGCAACAGAGATGAAGAAACAGAGATATAGCTTCAGAGACCTATATGGGTTAATAAACTTTCCATGCCATGGGAGTGAAATGATCACGAGAAATAAATGTGATCACATTTGCAGGGGATTTACAAACTGGAGTGTAGAGAAATCATAACCTAAACCAAGAGGTATTAACAGTATCAGGAGTATTTAGGAGAGAAGACAGGGAGCACCATGTGTAGGTCTGCATGTGCAATTAACAAACTTTTATCTGTAGTACCATAAACTACTTGTCTTTGATTATTTTTTTATTTGCACAGGATATGACTACCATATTATTTAAATGCTATTTTACATGGTTTTCACCTTGATTATATAAATTGTCTCTAGAAGTACGCAAATCATATTGGAAATGCACACAGGCAGAGACAGAGCAGTCACCTCATTGAATTGCCAAGTAAACCAGTGAGGCTCAGTGTCTTTGCAAACAAAATTCCAAAACTGTACAAATAAAATGCACTATGCTGGAACAATTCTAATTACTGAAGTAAACATGAGTATAGTAGGTTGCTCCCATTGGTAGTGGGCAGTGACCCTCTATCACTTGCTTTAATTTTTTACTCATGCAAAAATATTATTTCAAACTTGTAAAGTAATTAGAATGAAGTTCAAATAAAAATTTTCAATGAAAAAACTGAAATATCATTTCATATAGGTATGAACCAGATTGGTCAATGAAACTTAGAAATCAGCTTCAGTTTGCAGGTTCTGTAGGTTTTGTTTTGTTATATAGTCTAGAGATTAACGCATTATTCCATTTCTAATTTTAAAATATGTGAAAGAAATATAGTTAACAAAAATCTAACATTTCTTTACTCCATTAAAAAGGACATATGAATTCCCATAAAGAGATGAAACCAATGTTGTCTCCTTTGATTCACATTCTTCAGTTCTGATTCCTTGTCAGTGACTGCCCAACGCTGTTTAGTTAGAAGGATGAGATAGGAAGAAGTAGATAATCCTTTGAGACTGATATGAATATCACCCTACACAAGGGTATCTCTCCATTAAAAAAACCCAAAACAGCCTAATGTAAAGTAAAAGAAACTCCTAAACCTTTTGAATGGACTGTGTTTATTCATTCAATAAAGCTTGCACTGAGGGAACGAAAATGCTCAGGCCTCGCTCACAGAGTTTTAGCACTTCTTAGTGAGGAATTAAAAACTCCACAAATTGAATTCCAATTGAAGTGCTGACAGGACCTTAATGACTGTAATATGTACAGTCGTGAGTGCCTCTTACCTGATAAAAAGTGCCATCCTGTGAGCAGACTTGCGAAGATGAGCAGTTCTGACACCGAAACTGCGAAGGAGATGATTTTCTGATCAGATAAGAGGCATTCACAGCTGGACATACACATTTACCATTTAGTGAATTCATTTTTTTTTTTAATTTTCAAATTTAAAGCTCATAATTAACTTACTTATTTAAAAACAGGAAAGACTTCTCTAATGAATAAATGGACATTTTCCCTTTCTTGTCTACCTCATGTAAGGTCCATAGGTATGCCAGTAAAAGCTCATGGTCAATAGTACCAAAGATGTATATAACAGACTTATTTGATCTTCATTCAGAAGAAGATGTTGTTAATTAATTACCATTGCAACTTCATTAAGGAAAAAAAAATCATAGAAGCCTATATATTACCGGATTTATTACCAGCACAGTTTAATTTTTACAGGTTTTAGTCATCTCTGACTTCAGGGGAGCGATTTAAAACTACATAAAAGATGAACACATACTGTGTGTATGTAAACGCAACTTACAAACTTAATCAAGAGTTGTCAACTCTTACATTCACTTAATGTTAAAAGCTATAGTTCTGAGATTTTTGAAAAAATTTCATCAGTACAAATGTCTTTTTTGTCAAAATGACAGCTATTGTTGCTTCCAATACAATGCATCTGCCAAAAGTCCATTTGTAGGCAGGTGCTGCAGGACGAAATGTCATGAAAAAATTCCATTATCGTTAGTTTTTGCCTCAACACTTCCTAATAGTACTGCCAATGCTAACAAAAATACAGAATGGCAAGCCAAAAAAACACCCACTGGTTTCAAGACAGTATTGGAAAAAATACTACTTAAAGCTCCCTTATTCGTGCAATATTGTGGTTTCAGTAATGATCAAATTTCAGTGCAATATTACTTTCAAATTTCATGAATACTTGCTTATATACACTAACTTCTCTAATTCCTATCAAAATCTATCCTCCTCCCCACTGCTTCAGATTAAGGTAAAACTTTGAGAAACTTGTGAATTGTTAACTCCACAGTGTGTTTAATTCTCTGTCTTCTCTGTCCGTTTCCAGTGCTTTTTATTCTGAGCACTAGGGTGCTTAAAACGAAAAAAAAAAGAATACAGCAAGTTTGGAATCTTCTACAGATCATTACATTAAGCTATGTTAAATGTTTAATCTTATCTGCACTCCAATTTAGCCTCCACTAATAATGACAGACAACAACCCTGTATATACTACAAAGCAATAAAGACTGAAGAACAATCCACAGTCGCACACAAATGAATGTATAAAAGAAAGGGAAACAAAGGGGATATGACTTCTAACCAAAAAAATTAAATATACAAGGCAATATAAGGGCTACTAAATCAAACTGAGGATCAGACCTGAAAAAAACTCTGTAAAAAGGTTAAATATTGCAATTCAAAAATATACACACGTGGCAAGGAAAACCCATTTGGCTGTTATCTGGATGTTAGTGTTAAATAGCACATCTAAAAAAAATGTGTGTAGTATTAACAGAAACAGTAATAAAACAATTAGATCTCACCAATAATTTTCCAGAGTCACTTTCAGTCTACTGACTGAATAAAGCAGGTTCTTACTGGATCTGCTGGATGCAGATTCGCCAACTATTGTAAATCAAAAGGTCACCAAAAGCACATTTGCAGGAAAAAAACAAGCACTTGGGTTTTCAGACACTTGACTTAAAACTTAGAGCAGAACCTGCATATGAACATTGTATATCTGCTATTTTGAAGTTTCAGAATCTACACAATACATGTGCTGCAGGGTTTCCCTCACAGAGTTTTACATAAGAAATCCAGAAAACATGTGAAAGGCATTTTTAAGTAAGGGTTTTTTGAAGGGTCATAGAATATATTCTTGGACCAAGCGCTGAAAGCATGTATACCATCTATAATAAATATACCAAAACATCATTTATTTATAATGTAACAGTATTTACGTTTTCGCCTCTTAGTCTCCATCTTGTCATATAGATGAATTCCATAGTATGATCCTTCCCCATAATTTCTCCGTTGCATAGTACATCCAGCTTAAAATGTAAGAGAACAAACAGTAAGATAAAGGGATGCAAAATTTTAATATCTAAATGAACTCCTAAGTGCATCTCAGAGTTAATCCCTCAACTTCTATCATTATACAACAATTCCATCAGACATGCATAGCAAACTCGGATGAATACAACATGCTGACAATATGCTATTTTGTACACTACCATTCGACTTTATTTTTTTCACTTTCGTGTTTTCATGTGAAGTGTGAACAGAAGGAAGTCTGCCAGTGAGGTAGGAAATCACTAGTAGACAAACATTCCCTATATTTAGCAATACTACACAGTATCTGTTTGAAGAAGACGACTTTTGCTGTATTTTGAAGACCACCTTACTATGCCAATGCTCTTTCAAATTCAAAGATACAAACCAGAAGTACTGTAATTGTCATATAAAAAATATAGTTAAAAAAATTAGTTTAAAAATAACTATAAATTACAAATAAAAAGCACTTCCAAGTATACAAACATTCATTAACTGAAAGCAAAAGACAGAGAAAAATAATCATCTTATTATGAAAAATGTTTAGTTTAAACTGTATTATAGCACCTTACGGCTACGCACCACTGAAAATGTTTGACAATATTTTGATTACTAGAGCTATAATGTTTTTCTGGTTTTTAGATGAAAAAAAGCATTTTGAGGTAAACAGATTCTTTGTAACACAAGCCATTAAGGTGCCAGACAGATAAAATAACAAAGCCAAATGACACCAAAAAGGCTGGTCAGCATGTCCTGACACTGTGACAAACTCCTGGGCGTAGCAATACGCATGTGCACCTAACCTAACTCAGCCCCATCCCTGACCAAAGGAGGCTGCAGTTCATGGAGTCATTGGCTCCAGTAAGAGAACTGGTTGAAGAAACAGTCTGTCCTTCAGCCTAAATTCCTGTATCCTTGGAAAGAGGGGAAGCAGGTTCAAATATGATTAAATTTTGAAGGAATGTATTATGTTGCAGGGAAATAAAAATAAAAGCATTTTTCTTTCAAATGTACCTCATAAGAACTTGGAAGTTTTAATTTTAAGCTGAGAAACTTTTTGATAGTTCCCACAGTCACTCGAGTAGAACAGCGGATAAATTTCTTCATTAAACCCTAAAGCAACAGCAAAAAATCAGGAAAACCATGTTAGAAATTCTGGAAAACAAGAGCAATCATTAGTGCAAGAACAGCTGTAACTGATAATTTTTTCAACCAGTAATCAATTTTAGTGCACCCTCTTCTAATCCATAATGGCACCATAGGTTCAATTTTTTGGCAAAATTTAAAAGATGACAAACAAGTTCATTTGACCCATCTCTGGTTCTAATAAAATGTCTAAAAGATACCAAAGGGAGGAAAGATAAAAACCAAAGCCCAACTACCATAAAACCACAAAAAGCCCCAGAAGAACTTAAATAATCTATGTGTTTGCATTAGTAACACTCGGGTTTAAACAAATGTTGCATTTCTTTGAATTTTTTCAGTCCTTGAGAGAAAAAGAAAGTAAAGACATTCTGAAATAATCTAGGTAAAATACAGAGAAGCTACAAATCTGAGACGTGATCTATTACCATAGATTCTGTGATCCAGAGCCTAATGGTTTTGATTCAACAGGAAGACTGGAAACCTGAGACTCTCACATGGTGATGAAGACACAGATTTCTCACTGTATATAGCATAAACAGAGTGATAACATATAGGTATGTTTTCCTGATGAATCAAAATTTTCTTACTGTGTTATGAACTTCCAAAATTATACATGTAACATATCACACAGAAAATATAGGTAATTTTATTAGAAAAATTCTTTATATTTTTTAAAAATTCTTTAATAAAATATTATTAAAATCTAAGGGGATTTCTAAAGACTTTCTTCCAGACTCAATATCATTAAGTAAAACTCTTCAGGAACAGCAACTAAATATCCCTAATTCTTACAACAGCAGTTGGCAGGTATTACTCTACACAGTTTGCAGATGGAGGTGACCTGTCCAAGGCCACAGACAACACATCTGTGTCAGAATCAGGTTTACAGCTCAGAAGATCTGGATCCCAGTCATTCAGTGCACAACATATCTGAAAAGCAAGTTCATGCTGGCATGTTAAGACAGTAATCCTGAAAGTATGAGGCAGCTCACCTACAGCTAGCTTTACAAATACCTCTGTGGTATGCTGTAATCTGTTGTGTAATGCAGTTATATACCATCAAGGCTGTAGACTACAAAACTATAATCCATACACAAAAAAACCTCCACAGTCACAGATGAATTTCTGCATGGAACTCTTGTTTTTTAAAAAATTCCAAGATGCATTGAAATGCCTCATACAGAATGACTAAATAAGTGTGGAAGTCACCACACTAAGGTTTATTGTTAATGGCTATAAAATTATTTGGTTCCTATAAGATGCTATTCTGCCATCAATAACAACAGCACAGATTGTTTACTACTCACTTTGACTACATTATCTCCTGACTGCCCATTGTTGCGCAAACAGTCGAGGCAGATAGCAATCTGTGGGTCACTCCTGTGATAGTCTTTATCTTCTTCGTTTTCATCACACTCCTCATCTACTTTGGGTTTATCAGCTTTTGGACTTTCATCTGTAAAATATGAAGATCAAATTAGTTAAGTGTAAAATAATTAAAAGTCACATATTTAAGGAAATACAACATTTTCACGAGCATATTTTTTCTTCAAATTAACTTTATACGTTTTAATGCAGTGCATTCTTAAATTGACCAATTAAAAGATCTCTGAAAACAAATTTTTACCATTGAAATTTTAATGCAATATGCAAACAATGGATTTCTATGGAACAGAAAATAATTAGTCTGATGGACTATAATGGCTGTCTACTTCTGATGTGTCCGGTAATTAAAAACCCTGCAACTGTGCACGCATCAGGAACACTCAAACATGCAATCCTACCCTATGTTGTGGCAGTTCAGTGACAAAAAACGATGTTTGTAAATAAACAGTGGAATAACTAATCCAAACACTTGTATATCAAAGTACACATGGGTAATCAATTCATAAACTGTCTGCCACAATAATCCAGTGGAGAAAAGTTCCTGAAATATTATCATGAAGTAAAGTAAGGGAAGATAAAGCTTAACTTTCATCCACTTTTGATGCTATCTAAGTAATATCATTGTAAGAAATCCAGGTGTTTCTCTCCAGATGGATTTTACAACTAAATAGCCATATGCTTACTTATTCCCCTTTAAAAATAAAAAATAAGAAAAAACGAAAGGTCCCAGTATTTTTTAGCAGAGCACATATATCCTACAAAATCACATTAATGTGTTATCTCTTTTCACTGATGCTGTTAACATGTTCTATGGACCCCTGCTTTAAAATTCTACCCCTTTGGAAAAGGTACCATCTTCTACAATTTTCAAAGGTTTAGCAAAGTTGAACACTTGAATGCTTGCTGAGACCAGCAAGTACATCTAGATAAGGCTGCAGTGTATGTAAATAATAACCATAAAATGGGGTAACTTTTACAGACTTGTAATACAGTATACAATAATCCTATTGTATACATTTGTTTTTTCCATATCCCTAACTTATTTATTTAGATTTTAAAAAAGGTTGTTCTCTGTTGGAATAAAACATTATCACAAGTAAGTTGAATAAGCTGCCTATGCATCTTTTTGAAAAACTTTCAGACTGAATTCTGCTGCTTTGGTACACTTACCATACTTCTTAAGTAATTTAGAAGAGTTCAGGTGAGAAAACAGAACATAAACTTTAATAAATACCAAGCCATGACTAAGTTTCTTGACACAGTAATTAGTTCCCTTTGCTCAGTTTAAATATTCAAGGTGAGTTTTAAGCTACATTAATTACTTTTCTTTCTTACAATTTTTAAGTATTTTGTAATTATATTTGTCCCTAAGTCCCCTATTAGCTATTGACACATTCAGTTGATTGTGTATCATATATACATTTTGTTATTATCATTTTCCTATGAACAGAATTTTCAGTATCAACCTACAGACTTTTTTCTCTTTGTTTGTGAAAGTCCAGGAAGCAAATTCTTAATCCAGCAGGTGCAGTCTACCCATCACAATCACTTATCTGAGGAGTCTGCCTATGATTCACAGATCCTTCAGCAAGTACATCCAAAACTTTCAACAGTTACCAATGCTGAATAACGGAGGAAAGTTTAGTTACGCAGTTTGAAAAGCCTTGAAAAACAAACCAACTACAGAACTAGGGAAAACAGCAAATTTCCCATCATAAAATAATTCCAGAAAGAGGTGCACATGCAAAAAGGTCACATCTTCCAAGGTATCCTGATAGGAAATTCAAATGTTCCCCCATGTAAATGGCACCAGAATATTTTCTGAAAAATCCTTGTAGATATTAGAATTAATGATGTTTGTACAGGCAACCTCCAGAAATCAATGTGATGGTCCATTACCGGCATGTTATTCAATATGATAGAAGTGAAATAAATAAACAAATTTAATCTCACTAGAATGGACTCATTGTTCTCCAAGTCAAAAAGCATCAAGCCAAGAGCAGGAAAGGAAAACCAAACCAAAACCTCGTTCACCTCCTCCCCTCTTTCCTTAAGGAGTAAACTGGTGTCTCTTCTTTCTTCTCATCTTTCTTTCAAACCTTGGATATTGTCTACTTTCTGTGCTTTTCTCAGATATTGACCATAAAACTAGAGAGTGAGTTACCGTAAAGCTGTTTGCCCTCTTCCTTCCCCAGTTCAGGCTGGAGAGGACTAATGAATATTTTTTTCTCTGTTCCACTGTATGTTTCATCATCTTTCAATTTTTTCTGGTAACCACTCTTCTATTGACACCACCAATGCCTGAGATATGCTTTGTTGTTTGATTTTCTCCCCCTTCTGATGTGTGAAAACTAAGTCCTGGTATTTTTTTACACATCTTAGGTGTTAAGGTTGGGAACTGTGCTGTGACCTGTGGTACAGGACATAACTGACAGACTCTTAAACTAGATTGACAATGTGATTGCAGGGCACAGCATTGACAACTGAAACAGTCTCTTCTTACTGAAACTATTCTCTGCAAATAATTCATTCTCGGGCAAGATTCTAAATGCTTGTTTATGGCAGAAAATAGCTTAAATGCTCATAATTTGTCTTAATGAGTTGTCATGACTTCTAAATGGTTTGTAGAGACAAATTTCTGTAGCCCAAGAATACAGTCACTAATGGAGCTGGATACATATGTAGCTACTCAAAAGTATATTATGAGTTAGAGCCTAAGTCTCCTTCACAAAACAATCCAAGCTCTCACTGCACTGAGTAACTCATCTCCATTAGGTTTACCATTAAATTATGGGAGTAAGGTAAGACCCAGAAGAATAAGTAGGTTAAAAGTAAGTTACATTCTACAAATTTGTAAATGATGTGCTAATTCTTTCTCTTTATGTATATAGCATAAAATAATTTCCTAAACAGTCAGAAATGTCTATACTTCATATAAATATTTTCTAAGTATTTTTAAAACTGAATAGATATACACTACATAGTATGATGTAGTAAACAAATCTAATTTCATCTAAACTGTTCTTCAGTTCTTTATTTAATTATATAACAGAGAAAATAACCTTGTCCCTTACAATGGATGCCGAATGCAAATCATCAAAACTAGTGAGAAAGAAAATTATACGTTATGAAGTTGAAAGGAAGATATAAACAAGTGAGTGTAGAAGAGTATTACAAGATGTTTACTTGACAGTTATCCTTTACTGAAAAGAGCTATTTCTTTAACTTAGCAGAGCCTTTCAAAAGTTCTTCAAAATCAAATCAAATAGGCTGTGGTATCAAAAACTTGTCAAGTTAAAGGGGCATTAAAACAGTTGGATGTAGTCCTCACTTAGTACCTCAATACTGAGCTTTCAAACTTCATGGGTCAATTACAAAAAAAACCCCAACAACAATATTGTGGAATCTATATAAAACAATTGTTTAGCATGTGTGGAAAGCTGTTTTACTACTTGTCGTAACTAATTCTTGACAACCTCCTACTTAACAGATGGTCACATTCAGTAACAGAAAGTAATCTGTAAAAACTCTGTAAAAAAAAAATCTGTATCTTGCCGTATTAAGAAAATTAAGAATTTAACTGGGAAATTATGAGTGTTTCAAGTGAGAGCATAGGGAAATGCAAACAAAAATAATGGTAAAACAGTCAGGGTTTGTAAAACAACTGGTCAATAGATAAGCAGCAGTACATGAGGGCCCACACTACACTTACACAGATTTGCTACAAGTTTCTGTAGTACCATGAATTCAGTAAAAACAATGTACTTGTGTAAGTGAACAAACAGGTCTTAATGAACAATGTTACTTAACACAGAGATGAGAAAGAGAAAAAATCATCACCTTGTCCATTTTCTTGGGGTTTGTTTTTCTTCCAAAATTCGATCTCTCGCTGCAGTTCCTCTAGTTAATACCAAAGAACAGTAAAGTGAATTTTTTAATCAATAATACAGGCATGTAATCAGAAATAGCCATATTCCCTCCATCAACCCAAGCAGGTACCCAAAACCAAGTGAGAAACTTACGTTCTCGAAGTCCAGGCACCAACTTAAATATAATTTCCTCTAAGGTGTTATCCAGCCTTTCAGAGGGAAAAAATACATTTCACATTAAACGGAAACTAGCATTTTAAGTATTTTTAGTGTTTAAGTAACAAACTTTTGAATAATAAAATGAGTTGCATTTTTCTGGTAAATAATAAATCCTGTCAAAGCCAACTGACTTTAGCTTGAGAGGCAACATGCATCAAAGCTTATCTTAATCACCTCTTAAAGGGATTTATTTTAAGGAATTTATTTTTCAATGTATAAAAACAACAATGAAACAAATGAGGAAAAAATACTTTACTCTAAAATTTTTATTGTTTGAATTTTGTATTACGTGCAAACATTCATGTTACTAAAAGGGACAGACTGGAAAAGCAGTATCCAATTTTAAGGTCCAGCTCATAAATAGTAAGTATGAAAATTATAAACCACATTATCATATTAAGTGTTCAAGTGCTTTGGTAATAAGCCTGTTACGAAAATCTGAAGAAGCTATTCCCTGCTCACTACACCACAGACACACCGATCTCGGCAGGATAAAGAAGACCACAGAGCATCCTTGCTGCTCTGACTTGACAGTTCTCAGTACCCGTAATTAATTGGAACTATTGAAATCTGCCATGAGTTTGTATATCAGAAGACAGAACACAGCACAGGCATGTCCTTTGATACCCAGATATCAGTGCCAAAACTAGTTATTACAGTCCCTTCCACTGGACACAGTGAAGTTACCTTTGCTGCTGAAGCTAAAATACTTTTCTTTCCTTTTCTCTGAATTTAACCTACTCTCCTATCCCTTTAATTTATCATCTGCTTTCTAGTTCCGCTTCCTCTCCCTGTCTCTCTTATTCTTCAGCTTCCTCTGTATTTCATTGTTTCCTTTTTCTTTCTCTTCTTTGCTCTCTGTCTCATTTCTTGTGAACAGAAACTCCCACTGCCCACAGCCTAAACCAAAACCCAGGACAAAACAAAATACAAAGTAATATGGCCAGAGAAATTAAGTACCTTGAAATTTAGCAATGCCTACAATCCATTTTAATGGATAACAATTATCTTCTTATAATACATATATGAGTATTGAAGGTTTTCTTCTTTATTAGAATTTGTACTTCAAAGTAATTTACAGAATTTGTAATTCAAAGTTTACAATTAGACCTATTACCCAAACGTCACGTTCTGAGACTAGTTCCCTGTGGTATCCGTCAATGGATATAATCATACCATAAGAATATTCATGTTTAAGCTACAACCATAATCCATTTTTTAATTGCTTCTTCTTACAGGGACAAAAAAAAGGAAAAATCATCAGGTGAAACATACCTCCACTAAAACAAAGTAGCACAAAAAGCTACTTTGAGCACACCACTTTCTCATGGATAAGAAGGAAACAAAAATCATGGGATGTCTTGAGTGCTTAACTTCTGACAGAGGACAAAACAGATCTACCTTTCCAAATGGTGTATTTTGTAGCCTTCTCTGTCAGTATCTAATATAACTAGATGGCACTGCTTTCTATGAAGCTCCCACAGAAGAGCATTGGGAACTTGGGAACCTGTCTTAGAAATGGAATTCATTTCACATACTAAGAAAGCTCCAATCTTCATAACGTACTGATTAAGAGAAACTAAATGACAACTTCAAAAGAGAACATTGCTACCTTAATTAAAAATCCGACTGTTCCTCAGTATGATATAATACATGCTGGGTTTTCTACATTTATTTTTGAAAGTTCCCACTTAGCACTTTCTAATTTGTCTTCAACAGCCCCAAACAAAAGTCACTGGTAATGCTAAAATAGCAAAAAAACCCAGCATACTTTGCAGATTTACAATGCTAGCAGCAAGAACCAGCTTCCCACTCCAGTTAATGACTTCATTTTCTTCCAAAAAATGAAACAAAAAAGCTGTTTTCTCCTTACAGAGAGTAAATACTAATCAATATTTTTAAAAAGGGCAGAAAAAGAAATCCTATCTGATCTTTAAGTGCATGAAAACTAAAAACTATAGGGAAAAAAATAAATCATAAAAGATTCTCAATTTCAGATGCATCTTACAGTGTTGCTATTATCCACACCTATGAGCACTCTAACATAAAGATTTGTATTCCTGTGACTTGCATCAAACCCATTCCAAAATGAAACTACTTGACAAAGTTGGTCTCAGTTATTTAATATACTCTCTGCTAATGCTGTAACAAGAACACTGATATTTTAGACACAACTCTTCCAACTCCCACATCTTCCAACCTCCAAACAACAACATACAGACAGAAGAACCAAGCACTTGTGTCAGCTTTGTAGAGTTTCTTTTTTCACCTCTTCTATAATATTGAATGAGTTATAAGATCAATACTCTCTTGATAATTATCAGTGAACATGAACCAAAATATTTCTAAGACTATAATTCAGGAAAACTTGCATGCACAGAAGCATGCTACCAAGAGAAAAAGAAGCCTGTCTGCATGGTATAGTCAACACAGTCCTATTGAGTACTGATGATGCAGAATTCTGCTAAATCAGTAAAGGTAATTCTAGAATTTAACACTTCCTACATTTTCATTTTACAACTCAGTGTTAAATTTCAGGTTTAATCATAGTTTCAAAAGACCCTAATTGCTGCCAACTAAGAGAAACATGTAAAAAACTCACATAGTTATGAAGTTACTCAGAATTGAGTTTATAAGTAGTTTGTAAAGTTTATCTGAAAGATCTCAAGTTAAAACTAGTATCTAGTGTTCAATTCTATTTCTCAGAAAATGACTGCATTCTTTAGCAATGATGGGGCCGGTCTCTATGGTCAGAGCATAAGACATGCATTAAGTTATGCCGGCAACTTCCAAAAAAAGATCATTCTATTACACTGTTCACGTGCTCTTCTGATTATTTGTTTAGCAAATGTTTAAAGCTGTTTCATAAAATATAACCAGGAAACTACTAACTATATGCAGTTTGTTGGCAAACAGACCAAATGACTCTAAAAGGAATTTCAGGAAATAATTGCACAGAAAATAGCTCTTTCCACATTTCTGGCTTGCACTTTAACTTTTCTCACCCATCTATAATTTCCCTCTCAAAGGACAGTATTCGTTTACTAAAATGTTTCAGAAAATGCATTTTTCATCTCCTATGAAGTGGTCCCATCAGAATAAAAATATTTCTAAAATGCTTCTGTTTTTAGCTCATTAGTAGCCCACAGGATCTTCTATTATGGCTCACACAGCACCTCAGACACTCACAGGAGATCAGAAAAGTATTTTCTACTACACAAACCCTCTTAGCCCAACTCTTCCAAAAACATTCAGATGATAAAGACTAAGGCCACTAACACCCTTCAGAGTTGCTGAATTTAATCTCAGTCACCTCTCCTCTTGGTATATAACTGAAGCACAGGAATGGTTGTGCATCATGTGAGTCATAAATCAAAGCAATATACGATAAATTGTAGCAACACAATGACATCAGGAAGTGATACCAACCTAGTAAATGCCAGATGTAAACGTATATTTTAATACTGAGGTAAGAATAGTTTTTCCTAAATTCACAGCAGTATTACAAAATAAGAATACTGTGGGGTGGGGTGGGATGGGGTGGGGAGATTGTTGGGAGAGAGGGCAGGGAGTGCCTTCATCACTGGAGTTAAACATGAAGTTCTTCCACTTATGATGATATTTCTTGATTTCTCCATCTTATACTTATGGGATGTCTATCACCTTTGTTTCAACATAACATCACTAAAAGAGAATCTAAAATTTCAAGAAAAATAACTGTTTTTAAAAAGGTGTGTTACTGTGATATAAAAATACAAACTCTCAAAAAAGGGTATTTTTAGTGTCAAAACTTTTTTTCATTAGTGTCTTTTCATTAATCTCACAGCAGATTTCAATTCAGATTGGCAGATCTGTGCCCTGAAAAGCATTGTTATTTGTATGATTCATTTTCTATATAGCTTATTTGTATGATTCATTTTCTATATAGCTCTAAGAAGAAAAAATTTGCCATGCAGATTGGAATGCCCTAAATACCTTGAAAAAAGAAACTCTAGAATTTAACTTCATTCCACGTAAAGAATAATAGGTATCTGCTTCATTTATTTGTTTAATAAAGGTATTAAAATGTTTATTTTAACTTGTAAAATATACCCAGTCTTTCAGTGCCTTTCCCTTACCTTTCCTCCTTTTATTATATCTGAAAAAAATCAATTTACAATTTAGTGGGAGCTGAGAAAAATGACAACCTATATGCCTCAGAACAGTTAATATATGCTTTATACAAATAAGCAAAACAATGAATTCCCTTTTAGGATAAAGATGCTAGGATTTTTTTTCAATTTTTTGTTTTTCCATTTTAGCAAATGTTGTGAAATAGCATCTTACCTTAACATTTCTAGTGGATTGGTCTCATGCACTTGGTTGCCACACCTGGGACAGTCATTGCTGTCTTCAAAGTGTTGAACAATACAAGTCTTACAAACTGAGAGACAGAGAAAAAAAAAGGAAGACAGAAAGAAAGAAAAAATCAACTTAGACAAGATCTAAATAATAGCTACTACATGCATCAGAAATAAAAGAGTATTATCTCAAAGTAAATAATTACATTTTCTCCACTTCTTGTTCCTCAAAGCCACAGTTCTGTTCCACTGAGACACCAAGTTCAGCAGCACAGGTTAGACAAGCACTGCTTTAAAGTATGTGATATTTTTACTACTTATAATTCTCCCAACATCATAAAATGCAAAGTCCATACCATGTAGCCCTTAAAGAGCAAGTTCTGACAAAATGTGTGCTGGGGAGCTCGAGCACAGCAGAGCCAACCATCACTTCAGCTGATCTGAAAATGACTTATGCACATCATTTTTGTTCCAATGTTTTGCTTGCAACTGAAAATACTGGTGTAAATACTTCTTGCAAAAGAAAAGTTCACAGAAGTTGTACAAAGGTTCAAAGTGTTTCCCTTTTGATACAGCGTTTTCAAAAACAATGACAGAACTTACAGTAAACATTTAATACTTGAATCTTATAATGAAAACTCAGGATCATGATCATGGCAAGTATAAACAAACCCAAACCAAGAACAATGTGAACTTAAACCCCAATAAACTGAAATTAAATTAAGCAAGGTGCTACACTACTGTTGCTTCCAAATGATTAACTGCAAACTGTAGGTTTTAATGCTATTAATAAGAAAATGGAAGCCAAGCTGATGAGAACAAATATGCCTGCTACTATTACTGCATTGCAACATTCTGCATGGGGATAAACTCTATCCTCTGTTTATTATTACTTCACCTACACTGAAATGACAACTGCAAATTCATCAGTAAATGGACTGAAAAAATAAATGGACTGCTGTGATTGCAATATGCTTTCTGTTGAAACACTGTAATTTCTTTCAGCAATTACCTAAAGAAGCATAAGCATCTCTAAACAAGCTGGTAAATCTGAATTATAAGACAACTTTAAGGAATCTCAAAATTCCTTTAACAAATGTCACCTAACAAGCAAAGCCTGCTTTTGTCTTTGCCTTAGTATGCTCAAAAGAGTTATGTCAAATCAGATAATGCTGGTAATGCACACACATTAGACCTCTACATAGGTTTTTTTTCCAACTGCTTTAGAACACTAACTTAAGGACATTAACTTCACAGCTCTGGTTGAAATTACAATGAACTTTCCACTTTACATGGGACAATAGACTTCAGAGCTCTCTGGCAGGCTCTCAGCACTCTCCCTACGCTAAATGGTTCTAGCAAGGCTGGCTGGATGCAGGGTTGGCTGGATGCAGGGTTGGCTGGATGCAGGGCAGATTTCTGGTGACCTGGTAAAACGAGCTCAGGAAGCCCACGAGCCCTGCCAGACAAGCCCTTTAAGCTGGGCACAGCACTGTCCTCTGCACACCGTGTCTCCAAAAGAGCTGAGAACACTGATGCCATGAGAGCGGCACTCAGAACTCAGGACATGAGTTAGTGTTTGCTTAACCTGAAGTTGTGAGGTATTTAGTGCTGGCATACAGATGCAAGAACCTGCAAACACAGAACTCTTCTTATATCACAGATCTTTTATAATTTGTTGAATTACTAGACTTAATCGATTTTTGCACATTCATTCCCTAACACTTCCAGAGGGTAAGAAGTCTAGTACAGAGCAGCAAATGTGATTGTACCTACAACATTTCTTCATTTTTCTACATACTTTTTCTAACTAATACTCCTAAAAGTAAACATTTTGCCACTACACTTACATAATAGAGAGAATTTCATCACCCATATAGAAGCCCCCATGCAAGCCCAAGAGAGCATTTAAGAACATGCTGAAATCAGAGCACAAATCTTAACTTTTGAAATGCATGTAGTTTAGATTTCTATAACATCTCCTCATTAATATGACTGAGAATCTCCTCTAGGACTGAAAATAACAGAAACTATCCTTGAAATTGAAAAGATATGAAGATTCTCAGCTCAAAGCTTTTCTTAAGATGCAGTGTTTGCACTTGTACAACCCAAGGGCAAACATCACAAGGTGGAATTCTTTAGCTGATCAGTAGCTCCTCAGCCATCCCAGCTCCCACAACCAGCTGAACTATCATTCCTTCTGTCACCTACCTGAAATACAAAGTACAGGGAGCAACTGAAGGCATCATTCTGCTCCTTCACTAATCAAATCCCAGATACATACACACAATGATACAATAGGGAAGAGGCATAGACAGCAAAATATATACAAAAATCACTTCTCCAAGAATATCAATCCCCACTCTCTTAGCTCTTTTTCAATGGAAATGAAGTTCCTCTTCTGCTAACTGCTATAATAAAGGAAGGAGTTGGTCTTTAATTTATTTTTCTTTTTTTTGTAAGCCTCCTGTCTGGTATAAACAGCAGCACCTCTATGGAGTCTTTCTAACCTGACACCAACTTAAAATGATTGATAAAGAATAAACAAAGTGGTAAAAAAGGTACAAATGTAACTAGTACTGGCCAATATTAATTTTGGGACTCATAAGCTTCTCTTATCTGGAAAATGGCCAGGTTGGATGAGGCTCTGAGCAACTTGAATTAGTGGAGGGTGTCCCTGCCCATGGCAGGGGGGTTGGAACTAACTAAGGGTCCCTTCCAACCCAAACCATTCTACGATTGCATTAGATTTTTTTTTTTGCAACCGAGACTCTTAGAGAATTAGCACAAAAATTCTTCAAAAGACTTACAAAGGGTCGATACCAGAGTGATTTTTTTCCATAAACAATCAGAATTAGTCTCCCTCAGAAAGCATTTCCCTGCATTTTAAGAAAGTATGTCTGAAATTCTTTTAAGAGAATTTAATTCTTTCATTTGTTCTTAGGATCTCTGTTCCATTCACATCAGAGAAGTTCTTGAAGTCTCTGATGACACTGTTCTAACTGATTTGAAAAGGACTAATTCATTTGTCTTGTAAAGATATTTTAAATATCTTTATCTTGGTAGGTTTTTTTTTTGTTTGTTTTCAAACTAAAGAGAAAAAGGGCCTATCTGAGCTATGGCTTTCATTTACACCTAGAAGAAATCTGAAATTATTACTATTCACAACAATTTTATGCCATGGGATAGATAACTAACACATATTTAAAATCATAAAACCTCCCAGCCACTAACCACTGCTAAACACAGAGCATGCTAATATCCACAATAATGTAACTTAAAGAAATATTTATAATATAAGCCTATCTATAGAAAGGAACTGAATTACTCAGTCTGAATATATTTACGTGCTGTCTTTATACCTTTTCTTGAGAGAAGGTGACACCCTTGGAAGCCATGCACTGCCCAGGAAAGGACTTAATGATTAATGAAGAGCTTAAACTCCAGTGTAAGAAAGATCTCTGAGTAAAATATGTACAGAAAAAACATCAAAAGGAACCAAGAATCTTATTCCAGTCCTATATGGATGTATTCCCTATGCCAACAAACACACAGATCTGAATCAAGTGTTTGTACAGTCAGCTCAATGCCATGAAAAAAACCTTGAAATTGTAAATCAATACTGCAGTAATCTAAAACAACTTTCACTTTTTCTCATGGAGACCTATGGTGCTATGAGGACTTGCCCATCAAAACTAAATGTGATTCACCAATAGCAATTAAAGGTAAAAAATACATATAAATTCTAGCACGCAAGTGTAATGAACTGATAAATGATAGTCCTATAGGGATCATGAACCAGTATTTTCAGATATGATAGGTATAAGTGTCCTCTGTTACTCTCAATATATAGATCACTGAACGTTTTTCAAAGTCTATCACTTGGCACTTTCAGAAAACGGGATGAAGTCTAAGTATTGGATGAAGTTTAAGAATAGGGAAAAAGGGAATCTTTAACCACAATTAAATTACAAATATATTTAATTCACTTCCTCAGGGAAAAAACAAACACCAAACCAAAAACCTTTTACACTTCCAGTACAGATTAACAAAATGACACAGTATCATTTGCTTTACTGTAGGTCATGGTGTGGCAGCAAACAGGAGAAAAGAAATTGCTTAACCAAAATGTACACAGTTTGCAGAATTTTGATATATGGTACACAGGCCAGAGAACTGAGAACCTGAATTCACAGTTGTACTATAACATTTCAGATGAGACACAATAAAAGTTAAACTCACATACGATGATTTTCTACAGCTGATAAAAGTACTTGTGTGACATATGCTAATTGGCTGGCAACCATAACAGACAATGCTACGTTTTCCAATACAGAGATATCTGGTTCACACATTCTTTCAGACCTTTGTAATTAGATGAAAAATACAGATACAAGTGTCAGGATTGTGCTGTATGTCATCTTAGGGAAACAAAAAAGTACATATCTTATGCAAATTCACATGATGATTGAAGAAAAGAAGAAAGCATGCTGAAAGCTGACAGGTGTAAAGATGGACATTAGTTGTTAATAGGTAGAAATATGCATACTGTAATTTTATAGGGCCAAGTATTGCTTGTTGATAGGTTGAAGATGCTTAGCTCACAGAACAGAAATGAAACTAGTTCCTCTATAAATAGAGGCTTGAAATAAATAATAAACAACTCTCTTGCTGACCAGCAAGGGTGTCCGTGTCCCAATCGCTACACTAACCAGTCTGTTGTACAGGGAATGTTGTCTAAAGAACTGCTTAGTGCACACTAAATGCTTGGTGCACAAAGTTCCTAATTAATATGCAAAAGTAGAGCGTATTAGAAGTGGAGACAAGGATGGGAAACAAAAAGATATAAAATCACTACTCTGGCACTTAGGGACAAAAGTAGGAAAGCCAAGGCCCAGCCATAGCTAAAACTAGTGAGAGACATTATGGAATTGTGTAAGTATGCTAGTAGCTGAAGGAAATTTAGACAAAATGTTTGCCTGTTAATGAATGAAGGAAACAACTTAGGAATAGGTTATACAGAAAGGTTTGAAGTCCTCAGTACCTTTTTGCCTTGGTCTTCACAGACAGAGCCTGATCTCTATGCATGATTTGGGAAGGAGAGGGATGATCAATAGACAAGGAGCAGCAGGTTTGGGCCCACTGAGAAAATCTGACATATTCAAATCTACAGGCCAGATAGGATTTACTAAGATGAAACCTTATCACCATAATCATGGTGATTCTGAAAGGTGCCCAATGACTGGAAAAGGACAGTGTGTTAAACCCACCTTTGTTAAAGAGGGGAAGAATGACCCAAGTAAATACAGTTCAACAGTCTCCCCTAGCTCCCTGAAAAGATGGCAGATTACATCATGGCCCCTGGAATCAATTTCCAACAACATGAGGGACAAAAATGTAATCAAGAATAGGCAGTACAAATTTGCCAAAAGTGAATTATATTATACACTATCAGGTGATCTAATAGCAGCCTGTACCACTTGAACAGCATTTACAGGAGTGACGGAGCCCTGTCTTCTTGGGAGTGGCAAGTATCACAAGGAGCAACGGTCCCACACTGACATTTGGTAGGACATTCAGTAAAACTAGGTAAAGACTGAAGCACTGGAAAAGGCTATTGCGAGAGGCTGTAGAGACTTCATGCTTGAAAAGCCACATGTCAACTGTACAGAGCCATGGCTTGACCTGGTACAGTGCTGGCAATGAACTCGTCTCATGCATGTTGGCCTAGGCAGCCTCCAGTCCCTTTCAACCAGCATTTCTATGATTGTGTAAACAGTCTGATATTTCTTTAGGACACTAAAGAAGGTTCCTGAGAAAAGTTTATTTTCCAAGTTTTGTAAGCGCACACTGTACTAAACAACAGATGATGGGACACGGCCTTCAGCTCACACCCAGCCTGCTTCAATCAGTAGTTCTTAAACATCCTTGACAACTGTGTAACAGACTAGAAAAAAAGGTCTCAGCCCATAAGAGAAAACCATTCTGTTGGAAGTAGTAAAAAAGAAATTAAGTACTGAATTTGCAGAATAAGTAATTATTTTGCAGCAACATAACCATTTCGGTCACAGCATAGGGAAGTTTGTACTTCTGATGCCCAAGTTGCACTTATGTTTCCCAGTAAATGGCGGAGTTATCTGTCCAACATTTCCAAAAAACCCATCAGAAACATGCCTTATTAAAAAGGCACTCATTTCTCAGAGCAGAACTCTACTACCTAACATTTTTCAACCACACAGAATGTGCGAATGAACTGCTAACTGCTTTGGTTGCTACTGATCACAACAGATCCCCTGTGATCACTGCAGAATACCTATGTCAATATATGCTTTTCATCTTTCCAGAGTAACACATTGTACTCCCAGTACCTAATGAATTTATGCTGCTTCTTCAACCATTAATATCTGCAGATTTTGATCATTTGTGCAACAATGTTTTGACTTATGGCAACTAATAGTACAAGAAAAATATCAAAGGATAGTTAAAATCATTGTATTTTGTGATATCCTGAATTCTGCCACACAGAGTCACCTTTTCCTCTGCAGACATAAGACTTTCATGTCACCACTTGTTTAATTTAATTTTCCCTTCCATCACTGTAAGCTTTGTACTTTGGCAACTAAACTTTGCTTTAAAGAAACATCACCTGCTTTCCTCCAGTTCTACTTCATGACCCAAACACGTGGCAGCTTTTTGGGGAGGAGACCTGTGCAACCCTATGGCAGCTCAGTAAAATTCACATCCTCTAATGTGGGGACTAGGCAGTAACAGAGCTGTCTCAGTAAAGAGCTCTCAATCTACAGGTAAACAAAAGAAAGAGATGCCACTGAAAACACTCCTGCCATTATTGTTTTGTAATGGGAGTGAAAATAAATAAACAAATAAATCATCTAAACAAAAACATACAGAATAAAAACATTTTTTCAAATCTGAGCTGATTTCTGAAGTAACTGTTTCCCTCTCACCCCTACCTTTTAAAAGTTACTACTGTTCATAAAACTTCAATCTTAAAAAAAATTAGCTAATACCAGAATTTTTCCAGTTTCTTTAAAGGGAAAGAATTTAACAATACATTTACCTGCTTCTATTAATTTACCTCTATTAAGTACCTCAGTCTTTTCCTGATTCTTTGTCACTATTTTCCTTCTGTATCCAATAAAGGATGGAGATTCTCCTTAGATCTCCTTTTGTTGCTAATGTATAGACTTACAGACACATTTTTAATTCTCTTTTATGGCAGTAACCAGATTAAGTTCTGTTGGGCTTTGGCCCTTCTAATTTTCTCTCTGCATAACTTCATGACATCCTTGCAGTCCTCCTGAGTTGACTGCCCCTTCTTCCAAATTAATAAACTCTCCTTTTTTTTTACTGAGTTCCAGACAAGGCTTTCTGTACAGCCAAGCTAGTCATCTTCCCTGACAGCTCATCTTTTGGCACATAGGGATAGCCTGCTCCTGTGTCTCTAGGATTTCCTCCTTAAAGCATGTACAGCTTTCCTGGACTCCTTTGCCCTTCAGGACTGCCTCCCAAAGGACTGTCAACCAGGCTCCAAAGTCGGACCCCCAGAAGTCCGAGGAACAGTTGTGCTAAACAACATTCTTACTCCTCCAAGAATTGAAGACTACCCTTTGTGATTCCTGTGCTCAAAGACAGCCTCCACCCACCAGTCCTTCTATGTCCACTAACAGCAGGTCCATCAGGGCCTCACTCCTGTGAGCTCTGTCAGGAAGTTACCCTCCACACTCTTCAGGAACACCTAGACTGTCTTCTCTCTGCTGTAGTGTACTTCCAGCAGACATTGCTAAGTCAAAGTCATCCACCAGAACAAGTGCTAGAAACTGTGAGACTTCCCTCAGCTGCTTACAGAATGTTTCATCTGCCTCTTCATCCTGGTTGGGTGATCTATAACAGACTCCCACAACGATACTGCCTTGTTGGCCTTCCCCTCAATTCTCAAACACTCAACTCTATTATCACCAGCACTAAGTTTTAGACACCCAAAACACTGCCTAATTTAGAGTGCTACCCCACTAGCTCTCCTTCTTTGCCTATCCCTTCTGAAGAGTTTATAGCCATTGCAGCCCTCCAGTTGTGTGAGTTATCCCATCATGGTTCTGTGATGGCAACTATGCCACAGTTTTCCTGCTGCAGAATGGCTTCTGTTGTTTTAATTTCATATGTGCGTGATATAGTGGGGACATAACACCATAGTGTAAAAATTAACAGTGAAGACAGTAACAACTGCAAGACAACAATAACAATTGCAAGAACAACACTGCGCAGAAATGACAGGAAATGCCAAGACAAGGCTTTTAACCGATATTAAAGGTTTGAAAACGAGAAATCTACCAGACACATATAGTTCCCTTTACTCTTCTTTTAGAAGAGTTCAAATCTTATTTGGAAAGACATCAAATTCTCAAGAAAGTCCAATCAAACTACTGTCTATTCAGGAATACATGTAAAAAAAATGAAGTGTGGAAGTAAGATGACTGAGTTTGACAGGACCATTCATACGCTTAATATAATTCATGCACGCCAATGTTTTAGATATATTAGGAGCCTAAGACAAGCTGAATATTTTTCCTGAGACAGTTTTATTGAAAGAAATCTACTCCATAAATAAATATTTTGCCAACTTTCAAGTACTTCGCTGCATTTTGCCATGGAACACATTACAGAGAGTTGTGTGCCAGTACTGACCAAACTTGTGTATCCATCATGCACACTGTCAACAGATACATTAGCTTAAGTTTCAAGAGCACAGTCATATTATCAGAATAGCACACCTGACCTGACTAATGATCTCACCTGTGATCAGCCAGGCCACAGTGATACAAGTTTGGTGTTAGAGCCAGCACAATCACCACTAGCTTAGGAGAAAGAAAAGAGGTATCTTTACAAGGCATTCAGCAGAGTTGACATACTTTCACAGAACTGGTCAGATTGGAAGGGGCCACAGTGGGTCATCTGGTCCAACCTCCCTGCTCAAGCAGGGTCATCCTAGAGCATATGGCACAGGATTGCATCCAGAGGGTTCTTGAATATCTCCAGTGAGGGAGACTCCACAACCTCTCTGGGTGATCTGTTCCAGTGCATGGTCACTCACATAGTACAGAAGTTCTTCCTCATGTTCAGGTAGGACTTCCTGTTCATCAGTTTCTGCCCATTGCCTCTTGTCCTTTTGCTTGGCATCACTGAGAAGAGCGTGGTTCCATCCTCTTGACACCCACCCTTTAGATATTTATACATATTAATGAGATCCCCTCTCAGTCACCTCTTCTCAAGGCTGAACAGGCTCAAATCCCTTGATCAACTTAGTAGCTCTCCACTGTACCTGCTCCAGGAGCTCCGTATACTTGTACTGTGGAGCACAGTACTGCACACAGTTCAAGATGACCCAGATTGGAGACCAGTGTTTAGGAAACCCCAACTGAGACTGAATTCATTCAGAGGATTTCATGTAAAAATTCAGTGAACAAAAACCAGCACAGCGGTCATATTAAAAACATTCACACTTCAAGCAACCATCACTTATGAAGGAGGGAATATTTTGCAAAGTACTACTTACAGGTATGGAGGCACTCGGTTACTGTAGTTGGCTTGATGAGATAGCCTTTACAGATATAGCAGGTGATATGAGGATTGAAATCTTTCACCAAGTGCTTCCTCTGAGTAGCCATTCGTGGGGCAGGAATTACTGGCAGAGTGCTCGGGGCCAGAGAAGCGAGTCTGAGAGGCGTCGATACCCGCAGTTCACAAGAGCTGTAGCACTGCTCTGTGCAACTGGACTTCTCCAGGCATTTGCTCTTAATTCCACCGGTCTCACTGGGACATGGCTCATAACTCCTGCTCCCGTGCCAGGCGAGTCATTTTCCTACCTGTAACACACGTGCAAAGAGAGAGCTGTGTAAACCTGGCCGGACAGCGGCGATGCCCTGGAGGAGCAGTGTCGCCATGAACTTGGCGGGGGCACCGGGCCGTTATTTACATAACAGCAGCCCGGCAGCCGAGCTCCGAGGCCGCGCCCCCGCCCCGCCAGGCTCCGGACGAGCCGCGGGGCCGGTGACAGGTGCAGGGGCCGGGGCCGGCCCCGCCGCCCTCCCTGCGCACCCCGCCCGGCGCTCCGGGCCCGCAGGCCTCGGCGGCCCCGCGGGGAGCACCCCCTCCCGCCGCCCCGCGGGAGCCGCGGCCGGAGAGGGCGGCGGCGCCCCGGCTGTGCCCCCGCTCGCCCGGCTCCCGTCCCTCCCCTGCCGCACCTGCGGCGCCTCCCGCGGCCCCCGCCGTACCTGGCGCAGCCCCGCGGCCTCGGGCGGGCGCCCGGCGAAAGAGAAAGAGAAAGGCGGCGCGCCTCCCCCCGCTCCGGGCGCTCCCTCCTCCCCGCCGGCTGCCGCGGCCGGTCCCGGGGCGGGCGGGACGGGCGCGCAGGCGCTGCTCCCCGGCCGAGCCCCGCAGCGCCCTCCGGGCGGCGGCGGCCGGAGCCCTGCGCCGGGGGAGCTCCTGAGGGGAGCGGGGGGAGCGGGGCGGCGGCGCTGCCGGGCGAGGTGAGAGCAGGAGCGGAGCCCAGCCCGCCGCCCGGGCCCCGCTGCGGCCCCGCCACCGCTTCTTCAAAATAACTTCAGCTTCTGCCCTGGAAGAGGGAAAGTTAAACTCATTTCTCCAGCCCGCAAATGCAAATGATAAACACTGGACTAAGTTACCCAAATCCTGTGAACATACATGTGTTTTCCTCGAACCGGGACCAACTAGCCAGAGAACGGCTAAGCACGAGTGAAAGCTGTCTCCACGGTTCAGGGCATCTGCTTTTTGCTCCCCTGTTCTAAGAAATGCGCCATATTATTACCAAGTAATTATCCAGAAAACTAAAGTGGCCTTCATTTTTCAATTGCACTATTTCTGGAAAATTTCTTCTTCGCTGCTTTTAACAATAATGACAAAAACCTAAGGAGGCATTTTCTATATCATCTGCAATGCCACCACTTTACCTGTGACTGTGTTAGGTATTTGCTTTTCCATTCTACATTTTTAGATAAATACTCACTTTGCATTGGCCCTCCAATGCACTCTCCCTTTCATCCTTTGGTAAGTGCTGCAACAGGAGAAGGCTTTAATAATTTTGGCCTGTTCCTGCCATCCATTCTTACCTCTGGAATATTTACCATCCAAGAGATCTCCATGTGCATCAAATCAATTGGCAGTCTGAGTCAGGTGCATTAAAAACTGTTACCATTAAAGTTACAGTGCAATGATGAATACATGATAAACTAGACATAGAGTAATTCAACAGGACATACATAATTTTTGCTGCTAAAATATTTATCTTGTATAAGCTTATTTCTTCACAATGTGAACAGAAGTTTATAAAGCTAAAAATCTTTTGAAGCAGCGTAGAATCACAGATTATGCTGAGTTGGAAGGGACCCACAAGGATCATCAAGTCCAACTCCTGGCCCTGCACAGGACACTCCAAGAATCCCACCATGTGCCCGAGATTGTTGTCCAAACACTTCTCGAACTCTGTCAGGCTTGGTGCTGTGACCACTTCCCTGGGGAGCCTGTTCCAGTGCCCAACCACCCTCTGGGTGAAGAACCTTTTCCTAATATCCAACCTAAACCTCCCCTGACAGCTTCATGTCATTTCCTCAAGTCTTGTCACTGGTCACCACAGAGAACAGATCAGTGCCCACCCCTCTGCATCCCCTCACGAGGAAGCTGTACACTGTGATGAGGTCTCCCCTCAGCCTCCTCCAGGCTGAAACTGGACCAAGACCAAGTGCCCTCAGCCGCTCCTCATAGGGCTTCCCCTCAAGGCCCTTCACCATCTTTGTTGCCCTCCCTTGGACACTCTCTAATAGTTTAATATCTTTCTGATATTGTGGTGCCCAAAACTTCCCCCTGCACTCAAGGTGAGGCTGCCCCAGTGCAGAGCAGAGCACAGTAGGACAATCACCTCCCTTGACCAGCTGGTGATGCTGTGCCTAATGCATCCCAGGATACAGTAACAGTTTAACAAAGAGTTGTGTTTTGATGGTTTTGGCCTTCTCTTGTTAACTGTTGTTTGCATTATTATACCATAAAGTACACACTGATGACCCAAAGGCTAAAGAACACAGAACTGTAAACTAAACATGAAGCAGAGAAATAGACAACATAGACTATATACATCTCATGGGAATATTTTAATTAGTCACATTCTGTCAGTTTAGCAGAAGTTGACATTTTTCAGAATGAGTGTGAGAGTGGCCCTGCTCGAATGTAGGCTAAGTATGATACAGCATTATTAAACTTACATACATGCATTTAAAACAAGCAACTGCTGATGCTTTCCTGGCTGTTTCAAAATGACTGCATCTGGTAAGACTTGTTTTAAAAATAAACTGGTTTCTAAGTGGGATTTCAAATCATGCTTTAAGTGTCTCACTTGAAAAAAAAGAACCCAACATTTTCTAAACAAATTAGTCAGCTAGGCTCACGTTTACCCAGTAATGGATGCACACTGTTCGATTCAAGCACATCAAAAACTCAGTTATGTCATTTATTATACTGTGTAGCCCACACAGTAATAATCACACAGCAGTTGTGATTATTGTAGTACTTGCAAACGTACACGACCGGTACAGGTTCCCACTAGCCATACTGAAGTTCTTTTAAGGGCAACCAGTCCCATGCCAGGTGACAGTGTAGACGACAAATTCTTGCCTCATCTCTCCACTCAGTCCTGCTGGTACTAAGTGTATTTATGAGATGCTGACTGAAGGTGATGAAAGTTGAGGCTTTCAGCACCTTTCAAGACCACAACATAAAGAGCAAACAAGAAGCAGCATAGGAGCTCTCATTTCATTATCAGAGGAAACTAAATCCTTAAATACTTACTCCCACTTTATATCATAAGGAAGAAAATTACTTTAATAAATGCTTATGAATTAATTATAATTTCAAAGGTAGTTAACTCCTAGCATTTCATACAACAGGTTTATTTAAAAATACAGGTCCGTATAAGTGATATGAGAATTTTGATCTACTTATAGCAGTTAAAAGGTAACAGAGGAATCAAACAAGGCAGTCATTTTCATATTATGAAAGAAACAGAATCAAGAAAATGAACTTAGCTCATAAAAGTAAATATATATCATGTATTGGTGACAGGAAACATGGTATGACAGAGAGGGTGATTTTATAGTCCTCAAATGAGTGATGAAAATACAGCTGCTCTCATTTTTCTGTGTTTCTCAAACTTTTGACTTTCTCATCAACTGACTTGTACTCAGCAGTTCCCAGAGTGTCCTCTAACACAGTGCTTACTTTTTTTTTTAAACCAAGTCCTTTTTTACATATATGAACTTGTCTAACAAATAGAAAATAAAGACTGCTTTCTAAGCATTATCAACACTGAGGAGTAGTTTCTTGAAATCCCTAAAGAACTACTGGATCATCCTCATGTGAATGTGAGTAATTATTTACATGTGTAACAGAGTAATTATTTACATTTAATAAGAATTAAATGTATCTTTTTAAAGGAACAGCCAGGACACACAAGAATATGTGAACTCCAAGCATTTCATTAAAGCAGTTCCAACATTTTTGAAAAATACCAATGTTCGACATCAGTTCCCAAATAAATTCCAGAGAGAAAATAAACACTGGTCAATATTCAAATTCTCAGTAACATTTGAAATGAGGGAATAATTCTAATTCTGCAAGCAGATCCACATTAGTACAATGCTACATCCCTACAGAGCTACACTGGAGTCTGTTTCTAGTCAAGTCTCCAACTACCCTCCAGTTATCCTAAGAGTTACTTGTATTTTGTAGATGAAGAATTACGGGGACACATCTGAACTAGGAAATTAATGGAAAACAAATCCCTGCTTCTCTTAATAGAAATTATGTAGCAATCTGAATGATATTTAGAGGGAGCTGCGCCTCTAGACATTTGATGAAAATGCCATTCTACAACTTTGAAAAACTTGAAAACTTCACTGAATTGTTTAGGTTGGAAGTCATCTCCTGAGATCATCTAATTCAACCCGTCTGCTCAAGCAGGGTCAGCTAAAGCAGGTTGTCTAGGACTGTATCCAGTGGGGTTTTGATTATCTTCACAGATGGGGTTGTACCCATTCTCTGGGCAATCTGTTCCCATTTCGATCACTTTCACAGTAAAAAAAAAAAAGCTTTCTTGTTATCAGATGGAATTTCATGTGTTTCAGTTTGTGCCCATTACCTTTTGTCCTGTCAGTGGACACCTCTGAGAACAGTTTGACTTCCTTATCTACATTCTCTCCCACCGAGTATTTATACATGCTGATAAGATCCCCTTGAGCCTTTTTCTTCCCAGTTGAGCAGTCCCCAAACTCTCAGCCTCTCCTCAAATGAACAACACTCCAGTCCCTTAACCATCTTTATGGCCCTAGGCTGGACTCACTTCACATCTTTCTTGTTCTGAGAAGCCCCAAACTGGCCATAGCACTCCATGCGTCACCTCATCAGTGCTGAACAGAGAGGAAAATCAACCACCCGTGAACTGCAGGCAACTTACTTGAATTTACTGCATAGTTACTCAGGTGTGAAGAAGAGATGACATATAACCACTTTGGGATCTCTTATTTCCAGTGAAATTCCCAATCAAGTAGAACATTATCTAGAATAGAACCATACACTAATTGGCATCTTGTCCAATGCCTCTGCTCAAATCAGGTCTAACATTAAGGTTAATTCAGATTGCTCAGGGCTTCATCTAAAGAAAGTCTGTATATATCCAAGGATGGCAATTCTATAGCCTCTCTGGGCAACCTGTCTCAACCCTTGGCAATCCTCATTGTGGGTTTATTTCTTTAGGTCCATTTCTTTAGGTTTAGTTCTTCGCTCTTTTTAGGCAAAGAGT